CCCCAAAACCCCAAAACCCCAAAACCCCTATGAATTTAATTTAGCAAAATCTAGAAAATAAATGAAATAGGGTGCAAATCATTAGTCTCATTATAATTAATAAGTTCATCCTAGCCTTACTTTATTATCAAAAATTTGTGATCAAAAGCATGATTAATTAAATTAAGATTAGTTATTTGTTACCCACCAGCCATCATCAGCTTTTTTTTCTTTCATGATTGCATAAACCTTTTTGCTGTTAGCTACAGGATCATGTTTCCATATTTCACTCTCATAATGTCGTCTAATCGATTCATCCAACATTGAGAAAAATTAAATCTCTTCTTCAGAGAAATCTGGATGCCATAAATCCATTAATAAATGTACTCTTGTCTCAGAGCCGTTATGCCAAGCTTCATGCTCAAACGAATCATCAAATACTATGGCATTTCCCTCTTTAAAATATATAAACTCATCTCCAACTCTCATAGAAGAACCATCTATCCCTATTAAAGGTAAGATTAGTCTAAGCCTTTTGGTTTCATCTCCATTGTGAGGTTTAATATAGCCTCCTGGAGACATTGCACTAAATAGAGCCCATGATCTATGATTTGGTACTAATTTAGATATAAGTTAAACTGATTTAGGAACATATTACTCATTTTCCTAAAACACTCCAGTACTATCAAATATGAAGAAGATATTCCATTTCCCCTTTTCATGAAATTTTTATCCAATACCATCTTCAGCTTTATTGAAATCTCCTTCTTAAGCACCCACTTTATTTGGTACGAACTTCCCCAAAGCTACCATTTTTAAAAGTTCATCTTTTAGAATGTTATAGTTTTGTTCAAGAGTTTCGATCCACTTAAATTCATTTTTATCCCAAATTGGAATTGCTCTTAAACCAGGTATAATTCCTTTACATTTCGCTTGATATTTGTGAACATAATAAGAGTAGTCATCATCTATCTTCCATTATATATGTTGTCTTGCAACATCAGCCTTCTTTTCATCTATATTACCAACCATATTTTTCAGAAAATCAACAAAGAAAGTGTATTCAGTTTCATTGAAATATTACTCCTAAACAAATTACTCCAATCTTTACTGAACTTAAATTCGCTTATCATCGGTTTCAAACATCTAACTGGTTACATAATCATGAAAACAATAATCTAGCTACAAAGATGCTTCAACGATGACTAATAATAAACAAACAGCAGCAAATTGGTGAAAATTTTAAAACATTTTGATTTAATTATTATCTTTTATTGTATCTGAATATGTAATGCATGGGGTTTTGGGGTTTTGGGG